TTGTGTGTGTGTGTGTGTGTGTGTGTGCGTGTGTGTGTTTACTCTAGCAGTCCGCCTAAGTCTAAACCTTCATACATCTGCACCAGGACCCGCCCCTTTCTCACAGCTCCTGGGAAACGGGCTGTTTCTAGACGCGCTCCCTGCCCATTCATCCGTTCTCTCGCAACCGGTTTCAGGGTTCAGGGATTTGTTTTCCTTTAACCGGATTAATGTAAGCAGATATCTGCAGTTAGAAAAAGTTCTTTTTCCTACGAAAAAACCCCCCACACACACAGAAAGAGAGAGAGAGAGAGAGAGAGAGAGAGAGAGAGAGAGAGAGAGAGAGAGAGAGAGAGAGAGAACTCACGCAATCAAACGATATGTTAACAAATGTTTTGGTGGAACATGTTCGTTATACACGTAATACGTTGCTCTACGTTGATCCACTTGGAACTTTCTATAGAAATAACTAAACTGACCTAATTAGGTTAGTGCTTGAGCTATTCTAATCATACACCCATGAACCAAAGATCGCCCCTCCCCCTCCCTGTTTTTCTAAAATAGATAAATTGACCGGTTAACCGGATCTAAGAGTTGTATGTTACCTAACTGTTCTTTGATGAGAAATGGGCGTATGGCGTGCAACGTCTATTGTAAACTTTAACCGCCCTAGCCTTTCAAAGGTATTCATCTGAATGAACCAAGCGAAATATGTTTTGCTTTATTGCTCCAAATTTCATGAGGTGTAAAAGTTACACTATTTATGAACTCTGTAGATTTTGCGCAATCACAGGATGTATACATTTATCGTACGTAAAAATGTATGTAACTGTATGTAAAGTTGTACGCTCTGTAATAGGATGTACACATTTGTTAACGCGTAAAAATGTATGTAATTGTATGAAAAAATGAACGCAATCATGACGTGAAACTGACCTAGAGGGCGTGGGGAACAAACACAGCGCGTGTTTCCCGGTGTACGGGCGTAGTAGAGATGACGGGTTTCATAGAGCGGAAAGTTGTGCTTTGCGAGCAGTGTATGATTTAGACTACATTTAATTTTGAAGCTCTAATGTAGCTTTCTCAGCTCCGGCCCACTGTTTCGCTACAAGCCCCTTCTCTCTCTCTCTCTCTCTCTCTCTCTCTCTCTCTCTCTCTGCA